CCCCCCACACCTGCTGTTCCAGGTCGCGGTCCATCAGTGGAGCCTCCTCGGGCCTCTCCACCAGCCCCCTCACCAGTCCCCGGGTAAGTAAGCCTCCCGGCCCATGCGTGACCAGCCTTTGCAAGAGGCTTAGCTGCTGATCAAAAGCAAAACACAGCTCAACACTCCTGCAGGACGCGTGATTATCTCTGTATTTCTATGTCTTTAAATCAGAGAAAAGTGCTTAATTCATTAATACCACATATCCTGACTGATTTCCTGGCTATGGTGAGATTATACAAATTGACATCAGCATTTTATTTATCCATTTATTACTTTTCCTTACCCATGTTCTTTCTTAATTTTTTACCAGCACCTGTCTAGCTCAAAGGTTGACAGTTGGACTTGAACTTATCATGATAAGTTTTATAAAGTTATCACCAGCTGGCCTGTATTACGTTAAACTTCAGCTATCAGGAACCACACCCGTTACCTCATTTTGATTTGTGTGGCTTTGCTGTGACCAGCTCAGTGGAGCCTTCTGACAGGATTACAAAGTGCCTCAGAGAAGCGAAGGAGCACAAAGTCTGTGCATTTAAACTCTTCTGTCCAGAGAAAGGCGTGCTTTCCGCTCTGGCTGGTGAGATGGAAGGGAATCCAGCTTAGGGAACGCTGCAGAAAATCCCACTTTGCCGATTACGTTGAGGGATTGTGCTTGTTTGGGAGGGCTTACTGGTTTCCGCCCCGCGGCTGACTCCCCCAGAATATGGCGCTCTCCAGCTGTTCCATGCGGAATTCCTACCCACTCACCAACTTAAAAAAGTAGCACCGGCAAAAGCTGCTTCTTTCATTTATTGAAAACAGGCAAAAAAACAGTACAGAAACCTAGTAAGTACAATGCATGTACAATGCAGGACTTTTTACTGGACTGAAGGATTTTTTTAAATTAAGATATGACTGTATTTATTAATCTTTGGTGAGAGTTACTTCCCAGCATCACTGCGGGTCACAACAGCACAATCCTACCCCAGTAACAAGCGGATGGGGGGAGACAGAGTGTCTGGCGTACCCTCTATGAGTGGGGCTTGTTTCCAGGGCTGCACCTCCGTGTCCTCATCTCCCTGGTCACCTGTGATGTCACTTCCTGTTTGTGACCCGCTTGCCTGGCTGCCACTTGCAGTGTACTCCAGCTAAAGGAAAAAGATGTTCCGTTCACATGTTTGTGTCTTTGTTTTTGCATTTTCTCTATCTTGCATCTTGAACTGCGGTGATTTTGTGATCTTCTGTCGTCCAGTTGCCTCTGGTTTGGCTAAATGCACGTTCTTCTCCTCTGTCTCTCTCTCTCTGCACTCCCGTCACTCCTGCTTTGTGCTCCCGTGCCTTAATGTCCCACCATCCTTTTTCCTCCCTTTTTTCCCCTCGGGGTCTCGTCGCTGCCTCCCCGCTCTGTTCCTCGATCCTCTGCCGCTCCCCGTCTGCATGCCATTGGGTCTGTTACCCTGCCTCAGCCTGTTAGGAAGTGTTTTGTCTCTCCCCAGTCACCTGACCATTGCTTGTCCCCAGACCCCTGCCTTGAACAGGGTGATGCCCTCACCATTGCCATGCCCCCTGCATCCAACTCCAGGACGCAGACCCTCCCTGCCAAGCCCAAGGTGGCTGAAAAACCCTTGCAGTCTACCAGGTCCAATCCGAACGCGGTCACCACTCCCTCTGCCAGCAAATCTGAACCTGTCTCACCTTTCCAGCTACTTCCTCCCTGTATCCCCAGCAGCACCCAGGCATTCTGGCCCCCCCGGCCAATGCCCCCCCAGCTGTCAGAGCCCTTCATGCAGGCCGGCCCGGTGCTTCCCTTTCGACTACGCCATGTCCAGCCCATGCTTGGGACTGACCGCAGCCCAAAATCTATCCCCATCATACAGGTGACCCCTCACCCCTCCCCTCGGGGAAGCCCTCTCCCCACTCCCAAAGGGACGCCAGTGCACACTCCAAAGGAGAGTCCAGCCGGCACCCCCAGTCCCACACCTCCCCCCAGCCCCTCCATCGGTGGGATGCCCTGGAGAACTCGCCTCAACTCCATCAAAAACAGCTTCCTGGGATCGCCACGCTTCCACCGCAGAAAACTGCAAGGTACTGCCGCACCATTTACTCTTCTCATGGAGTTCTCTCCACACGTACGTATTACTAAACCTTTCAGCTGGCCTGGCTGCAAAGACATTGATGATAGATGATAAGAACAATGGAGAACTGGATCGTACTAGTACTAGTTGCTACTTAGCAGTCCTAGGTCTTACCCTCCGTTGCCAAACCACCACAGATAGGCAACCTTGCATGAGCTTGCATGAGCTCAGTAGCATAGTAGAGGTGCACATGAGCCACAAGTAGGTGCCCAGTTTGTCCTCTACGGCTTGACACACTGGTCTGTCTCCTAATCTCCTAATTGAGTGTTCAGTTAATATCAGTCATCCCCTTGGTACAGATCTAACTCCAGCAACAGCTCTAATCCTGCTTCTCATGAGCAAGGACAAGTCACTGGGATAGGCGTCATACTCTCATACATCATACTCTCGCCTGATAACCTTTGGGGTGATCAGATATTACTATCTGAGGGTTCTAATTCGATGATGTTGAAGTCCTTTTATCCTGGATACATTAAAATTTCTTAGATTATGCAGACATACATTGTTTCTGTATACATATTCTAGAGGGCCCGCTATTGCACAAAACACCCAGTGCCTTATTTTAATTTTATTAGCTTTTAAATAGAGCTCTTTTTGTTTACGTATAAGAAAGAACCTGACCTGGTCTTCTGACGGATCTCCCTTTGCATGCTTTAAGTTAAGATGACAAAAGGTCTTCCATGCGGAACGAGGAACAATGATAGATGGATTTATATACAGAACTGAACCTGAATGTTGGAGATTGCAACAGATTTCGATCTGAGTGACCTCTGACCCCCGTTTCCCTTGCAGTTCCCACACAAGAGGAGATGTCCAGCCTCACACCAGAGTCTTCCCCAGAGTGAGTTGTACTCCCTTCATATCCTGTTCATTGATGTTTCATTAGGTATTTTGCAGTGCGATTGTATGACCTACTTCTTCACACAAATGATGTTCTGCTTGTAGCTCCCAGTGCAAACGTCAGACTGGAAAAAAAATTACCTAAGCACGACCGATCGAAACACGATAATAGAACAATTTCAGCATCATTTAAAAATGTTTGTCTTTGACACTGGCTTTGAAATGAAAGCTCTGTTGCTGCTTCTGTTTAATTCAATGAAATGTAATGGAATTCATTTTATGGGGCTGTGTTTACAGGGTGATGTAAACACTTGCAAATATTCATCCTCCAGTCTTCACACATGTACCCTACGGAGTACGGTGCCAGCAGCGGCACTATGGCATACACGCATATAAACTTGCATACACAGGCTTACATGCACATGCGCGCAATTAGGATCCTTCAGAAGGGAGATCTAGTCTCTGAACATTTCAGTGTTTTTGTTCGACTCCGTTGTGCTGAGAGTAATGGTTTTTGTTACTTTTTTGGGAGATGTCTGGCACCTTATGCTCCCCTGAGCCATTGTTCTTACATACCAAGATACTCCACACGGGGTCCAGAACGTCTCAGGTTCATTTGTGTTGTAACATGAGAGTCCCAGTTCAAAGGCATCTTTAATCTTTAATTCCCACTCTGCCACTAAGGCGGTTACTTTACCAGAACACTAGTGTTTAGTACCCAGCTGATCTTCATTCCTCGTCCCACACTGCAGGGGGCATGATTGCACCTGCTGCCTGCACTTGGCATCGTTCAACACAGCAGCGAAGCAAAGTGTCAGAAACTTCCCACCATCAAATGCTGCATCTTTTCCTGTGGCGAATGCTCAGAATTTGACTTTTCTCTCCTGACACTAGCGGGGCTCAGATCCATCCGCCATGGTCTGAACCATGTCTGTTTTACATTACTGCCCATAAATCACTTTTCAAAGCCTCAAATTGCTTTTGTGTCAATTTTAGAACATACGATGCCGTTTTGATCTTTTTTTTACCAGTAGAAAATGGTTTAAAAAAATCTCATTTCTTTTTTGCAGCTTTAATTTAAAAACAACTAGGGGGAAAATCAGAGTGAAAAGTATAGTTTTCTTTTAAATTTTTCAGTACTTTTGCCAAGTCAATATCTGTTACGATGCCCCTTATTTTTTAAAATTTTGTTTAATGTTATGTCTCACCTTTTCATTTCATCTGTGTACACATGGTTTTCTTTTGTCAGTTTCCTTCTGAGTCATAAGTTGTATGTTTATGAACCCTAGGTGTTCTTTGGCTGAGGGAACAGAAGGTTGTCTTCACAGGAGATGTGTCCGATGTCTCCTTGCCATGTGGAGCTTTGGGGGCTGATCTCCATTCATGGTGTTTGAGCTGCTGTGTTGTAAGTGCAGCGCTGTGATGGGTATGTTGTGTTTACCTCCTTGCAGACTTGCCAAAAAATCCTGGTTTGGTAACTTTATCAACTTGGAGAAGGAGGAGCAGATCTTCGTGGTCATCAAGGACAAGCCGCTGAGCTCCATCAAAGCCGACATCGTGCACGCCTTTCTCTCAGTAAGCCTCGTACATCAGCCAGTCTCTCTCCCCAATCCCTATTCAGAAGCTGCCGTTCCCTTCGTTCCATCAGCATTCTAGCCATGGTTTTGTGGACGTCCACTCCATTGTGTTTCCACCTTCCCTGTGTGTGACCGATTTCGCTCTTGGTCAATGGAGAAATCAGCACCTGGCGCCGATCATTAGCATACATATGCTCCGTTCTGATCAGTGCTCATTGAACACTTGCCCACGTCGGGCTGTTTTTGGTGGAACTTCCGAGCTTTGCAGGAGCAGCTCTGCGAGGTGAGTAGACGCTTCCCGGGAAGAACGTCTGCCTCTAGGTTTACCTTTGAGCTTTTGTGTGAAGCTGTTAAATTAGCAGGTCAGGATCGGGTAAATCCAAAGCCTTTCTCAGAGAAATATATATCCCATGGTTTAAGCTGTCATGTCATGGAGGTGGAAAGGAGTTCCATTACCTGCATCTTATGAAGTAGAGACCCCTGCACTTCCTAGAGCTGCCTCACAGAGTCGATTTAATGGCTTCTGTCGCAGTTTAGTCCGTGACAGTTGGACGTCAGTTCACTTGTTATTTACATTTCCCAAGAGGACAATCACTGCTCTCCTGCGTCTGGGTTCTCCCTCTTTTGACGAGATGCACATTTATGACGACTGTACCCTCCATCTTCCCGTCCTCAGATCCCTAGCCTGAGCCACAGTGTGATCTCGCAGACGAGTTTCCGGGCTGAGTACAAGTCCACCGCCGGGCCCACCGTGTTTCAGAAACCCGTGAAGTTCCAGGTGGACATCACCTACACCGAGGGCAGTGGGGCGCAGAAGGAGAACGGCATTTACTCGGTCACTTTCACACTTCTTTCAGGTAACCATGGCGACGTCATGCACACCCTGTCCAATCGTACCTGTTCAATGGGGTGTCGCAAATGTTGGAGGGAGGGTGAAGAAGGAGGCAGAGAGGTAACGAAAACAAAAAGGCGAATGTGTGAAAGAGAGGGGGGTATAGAACGGATGATGGGGCAAATGCCGCAGTGCTGGCTGCTGTCCGTGGTTCTGAACTGAAATTGCATCCCTTTCAACCCTCCTGACACTTTATCCAGATGTATGTTTAAAAGGTTGGCTTTATGGGGCTAAATTTAAAGAGAATCATTGGGGGGTTGTTTTCCCTCCAAATCACAGGCTACTCTTACTCTGCTGTGTCAGATAGCAGTACGTTGGTCCCCTGTGCCCTAACATTCCGGCCTGATCTGGGCACAGTCATTACTACTGCTGTGAGTCCTGTTAGGGGGTCTCAGGGACATCCAAAGAAGAACATTCAAGAAAAATATGGGATGAGGGAGTGAGTGAAAAAAGTTATCAAGCATAAAACCATATCATGTTAAGCCCCCAATCCACTTAAGTTTGAAACTATTTAGGGCCCCTGTCACTCAGGACCCCTTAGAACTGTCTTACGTTTCCCCTCTTCATGATGCCTCTGTTTATAAATAATGTTCATAGAAGGTAAAAGTATTTGAAAGTCAGTAATTCAATCTATGGTGTTCTCTGACCTGGGGCCCCATTATGGCAGGGCCCAGCCGGCGTTTCAAGCGGGTGGTGGAGACAATCCAGGCACAGCTGTTGAGCACACATGACCAGCCGGGAGTCCAGCAGCTCTCTGGTGAGTAGGGCCCTGCTGGCATTCGTCACGGCATCCTCCGCATGCATGGCGCACACCAGCCTCTGCCCTCCGCCATGTTCAACGCTCAGCCCAGCACCGCACTGCCCTGCCGGCCTCCCTTCTAGAGGGAATTCCCCTCCCCACCACCCTGCCCCCACCGCACGTGGCCCGTCACCCCTGACCCATCGTTGGATAGAGTCTAGGTGCGGTGACCTTGATTGCAGTCAAGATGACAGGACACCCTTATCCTGGGTTTGACTCACACAGGGGGAGTGAACAGGGGTTTGTGCCTCTTGGAGATTCCTCTATTTTGGATCGCCCCTTCGCTTTGCCCTACTCTTCATTGGATCGCCTTATTTCCAACAAAAATAAGTCAGGGTTGAAACGGCATGAAAAATGGCTGCACCCGTGTCCCAAACATGGCATCTGTGCTAGTACCCATCTGCTCTCAGGATCAGGATATCTTCCAGGACAAAAAAAAAAAAACTGGCCAGTGGAGCGATTTTTTTTCATTCAGGCATCCACTTTTCTGAAGCAAGTGGGACACGCATGGGCTACCATGAGGGAGACTGGCAGGGAAGAAGAGAGAAAACTGAGAGAACGAGAACCCCCCCCCCAAACACACATGTTCCCTAGCATGTCCTTGTTCATGTACCACTGTATCAGTTCCTGAATCTGCTTCACTTCCTGGTATTAGCTCCCTCTGCTGGCGAGACAGGCCACTGGCACCATGTTTCAGATCCACACGTACTGACCAGACAGGAAGATCACAGCATGCCAAGCTGGAGCGCTCAAAGCAGCTCAATTTGTAACAAAGCTGTGATAGCTTGCACCAGAGAGATTGTTTTTCTTGTCGTTTGGTGTACCTTTGGTGTTTGCCCAAAGACAGGTGTGCCAGTGAGATGCTGAATTACCTGCCACACAGGGGCTGATATCAGGAAGTCTTAGGCAGAAGGTAGATTCTCACCTTCCATATAGATGTCCTCCACACCACATATCACAAAGCTTGGTTGAGTCTCCACCTCACCCCACTCACATGCCACACCTCATCCCACGCTGTCCAGCTTGCCATGAACTGCTTGGTGGACCCTAGTCTGGAGTCACATGGAGAACACAACAGTCTAGCAGCCAACCGTCGGACTTTGCTGCCTACTATTAGTGTCTGTGTTGAAAGATGCCTGAGAGCGGACGGTGGTGTGACTTGAGGAATGTTTGGGTGTTTTTTTTTTTTTAATTCAGAAACGATGCACAGGTTACCAGCATAGCAAAGACATTAGCTTCAGATGCACTTTGCTTATACTGCTGAGAGTTTTGGATGTCAGTGTCATCTTCAAACACCTCCTAATGGGTTACAGTGAGATCTTGCATGAAACCAGCCCACAGTCGCTCACTGCTGGAATCAGCAAAACATTATCAGCAGCCTGATTCTACAGAGCTTACATCTGAAGCAAGGTGGAGCTCATAAATTTTCCTTGAGCATAAATAAATAAATGCTACTTCGAGTGGTTTCACCAATATCAAAATGCACTGTTAGAGTTTGTTTATGCGTGACTGATTAAGACGCTTAAGACAGATTAGGTTGACTTGTGTAGTGTTCGACTGAGGAGGTGAGTGGAAGTCAGCGGTGACTCAATGAACTGCAGAAGGTGAAGGTGCCCCTGGTTTGTAAAAACGAAGCCACAGGGAGCAGCTCACGCCCTCCTGTTATCATGTCACTGTCTCTGTAGCCAGAAGTGCATTCCAGCTGGCGGCCATTCAGCTGTCGGTTAGGGACAAGTGGAACCCTTGTATCTTTCCTTGAGTAGCTGTGGGGCAGTGTGGAGGCCACAGTCTGTGGTGCACAAGGGACTGATGCTGCTTCATGAAGCATATGTCTGTGGTCATCGGAGAATGGAGCATTTGGTGACTCAGAGTCAAGTCAACTTCATATTTTATGTAGGCCGATGGGGAACCCTTAATGGACCGGTTTTAATTTCCCATGACAAGCAGTCTGATTGTTTGAGGACATCTTCAAGGTGTGAGCCTCAAAAGCAAACGGGGAATGTTGGTCCTGTGGTGGAAATGGGTCAAGTGAAGGATGTCTGAGCACTCATCTCGTACTTTGGAGAGCATGTTGGAAATGGATCTTCCCTCTTGAAGTAAGACCTTTCAATGTCCCTCCCCCTCCCCCCGTGACTACAGACACTTCCTCTCACTGTTCGGAACTGCTGACGGGGAAGTTCTCCAAGTGTGGTAAGAGTTCCCCAGCCCATGTACTGGTAACCCACCCACACTTGTGACATGCATGTGATACACCCACCGCCCCTGCCCCCACGCCCGGTGCTCTGTCTACCCAGCACTCTCCTCCCCCTGCTAGGCTTCTGGAAGCTGCCACCCTTAAATCTCTGCCCCACAGCGCTTTGCATGCGTTGTGTTCCAGTGAGATCTGCGCAGCCTCTGCCGTTTTGTGGGTGCGGTAAACTCTGCAGACGGTGAAGGTAACGTGCAAACCACAGTGACTAGGAGTGTTTGACTCGGTGGGGCTTCCATATCATGGAGATGTGTGGTTACCGGTCTGGGCCATACTGCATCTCGTGTTTATGTTAGAAATGGAAACATTAATAAAAGCATTTTCCTGGGTAATGAGCGTTTTGCATTAAGAATGGAGATTGACCCCAGCGGTTGATAGTGGGTCAGGCTTTATCCCACACCCTACTGTTCAGACTACACAGGTCAGGCGTAATCCTGCTATTTCTCTATGGCTGCCAGCACACCGGCCTCCTGCAGCCCCTGGCGAACATGCCGCGTTAGTGTTCCTGTGTTACAGGGAGGGGCTGGCCTGTCAGTACTGCCACCGTCAGGACAAGGGAGATTGATGCATGTCCTACAGGCTGTTCTGGTTTATTGTTGCATTGCAGGGGGAGGCATGGGGGGGGGCAGGCAGTGGTTTTGGACTTAGCGGGTCGTGTATGTAGATGTAAGAGCTCGGATTAATGGCTGATGCTTCTCCAGGCCAAAGCCTGCAGGGCTTGGAGAGACTTGCGGTGACTGAGACAGGGGGGGTATGACAGGGAAGGGGGGGAGGGGGGTTTTGTCTAAGAGGATCTCTACAGTACTCCAATACAGGAAGCTGAATGTATCTGTGTGTAAATGAAACTGGAAATCAGGCGTGTGAAAATGTGTAAATGAAGAAATGAAATCAGCTGTGTGAGAGAGAGATTGAGATAGAGAACACAGATGTGCACAGGTAGAAATCACTCACTCTCTGCCATCTCCCTCTGTGGGGGGCTCCTTCAGCCCCGTCCCAGAGGACAGACGCTTGGGGTCAGGCATACTAACGACAGGGACCCGGGGTGAAGAAACCGGGGTGAAGAAACAGCCGAACAGAGACGGCAGCCGTGATTCTGCATAAGTGAGCAGGAGCCATCGAAAGGCTCAATTATGGGAGATCATTAGCGCCATCCGGGGGCAGCGACGGTGCCGTTCGCTCAGCCACCGAGGGCGCAGAGAAGTCTGAGGGGGCGGAGAGCGAGGACGGAAGAGCAGAAGCCTGCTGCTGCGGAGGAGGAGGAGGCAGCTGCGTGATGGATTGTGGTCATGTGACCCACGGCACTGCGCCCGCTCCTCACTTGTTACTAGGCAAAGACTGTTTAAAAAAAAATAAAAAAAAAAAAAAGGCACACAGGCAGCCGAATCAGGGCTCACCTGACTGAAATGGTGACTGTGCTCTGTCCGTCCTCAGGACCGTGACAGCGGGGGCGGGGGCAGGCTGCAGTGCTCAGCCATTACTCCAGCCTGGTTTGTGATTCTCCCTGGCGGTGGCAGATTCATTCTCCATCCGCAAAGAGATGTGGCACTCGGTCGGGGCTCATGTTTTGACGGTATTCATTTACCGGCCTAATTAGCCATACTTTTAGGCTGGAATGCGTCCAGTTAGCGCTTTTGCGCGGCACGCTGGCCATCCCACTGCGGCTTAACGCCGAATCGATGGCTGCCCACTCACCGCTGGGCAGCCTGTCGTTAATCCATTAGTCAGTTTGGAAACAAGGCCTCTGCGTTGAGGGAGGGAGACATGAGCCAGCACCAAACTGAGCGATGCTCAGGACCTCAAAGCCTTACAGTGGCCCGGAGCTGCTGCCTGCCCACTCTCACACCTACATTCAGGTGAAGAGTCAAACAGAAGGATGTTAGGTTGGATGCTGAGATCCTGGGGTGAGCTGTAGTCTGGGTTGGTCAGGTATCCACCCCCCTTTCTCCAGGTATGGGAATCTTCTGCCCGTCTCTTGAAAATTAACCTTGTATGCCGGACGTGCTGTGCTTTTCCTGTTATCCTGCTAGCCATCCTTTAGCAATGCTAATGGCAGCCTGCCTGTTCTGATTAAGGCTCCTGGCTCACCTGAGAATGAATACTAAATTATAGCCACGGGTCAGACTCATACAGATGCTTTCACAACATCTCTAGAAGACTAGCCTCTGCTGTTTCGTGTGATCCCGGATTCCCCGTTCTCTGTGTCAGACTCCCCCTGACTGCCTGTCAGGTGGGAAGGGCAGCGGATGGGTATTTAAGAGTTTTCCGGCCTCCTGGGTTTTGGAGCACTGGCAAGCATCTGCCTCATGGTGTGTGTCATGGCTGGCATCCATAGAAACAGAAAGGGGACCTCTCATCTGCGGAAGATGGGGGTTAATTGTGCATCTCCCTGCTTTTATAGTTGCTGATCTCTCTGGGTAGAAGGTGGATCCCTGCCCCACAAAGCTCACATGGTACAGTCCGACTCCCACCTAGGGTAGGCTTTGCTTTCATTTCTGGGAGAGCTTCTGGCACCACATAAAATCCTGAAATACCACTGACTGGATGGTGCTCTACTGCCACTTCAGCACAGAAGGGTGGAATGGGAAGGTAGGACAGACTGACAGACCTCTATATTTAAATGGCCAATAGTGAAATTAGCTGAAAAGGACAAGTTTGGCAAATTTGTGTGTCTGCTTAAATGTTTTGCAGTACACTTGCAGTTCGAATCTAGTTTGATGGATGGGAAACAGCAGTAATTAACGGATAGATCTGGATTTTTCCATCTTGCTTGACGTTCTTGTCATTGCCCCATTCTCCCTAGTGTGTCCGCCTACCTGGCTGTTCTTAGCGCCTTTAAGCCCCTTGGCCAGATCGTATGGCTGTCAGTACCGCCCAGCAGCAGGTCACGGCCCGGGGGCCAGCTGTCAGGCCTCGTTTCCACATGTCTGAGTGACTAAGCGCCCTTGTTTCCAGGGGGGATATTTTGAAGGGCGCACCGCTCACAAAGTGATGGATGCTAGAATCCGATGCAACTCAAGACAATTTCTACTTCGTATCCTTGACACCGCCTCGAAATAAGTAGACAGGCTGAGTGCTGGGAGCTCTCAGCGGACCAGTTACTGAGCTTAATTTCTGGTTTTAAGCTTTGATTACTTGGTTACTGTTGGTGACAGTCAACAATATTCTGAATGTTAGCCCCAAAATAGACAAAAAAAAAAGTTAATCTGCAGTTATTCCTTCTGGAAGCAGTTTTTCTTTGTTTTTGGGGTTTATTCCCCTACCTGTTAACTGGTTATAGCTGAAATCTGACAATGTTCCTGGTTGCCAATTTTACACACTACTCATTGTAATATATTTATGGGTATTTTTAGTAATTCTGTTTTATGTATATATCGACTGGCATCCCAACCTGGGTGTACCTCAGCCTTGTGTCCTGTGTTACCTGGGATAGGGTCCAGGTCCTCCCAGGACCCTGGACACTTGGAAGGTAGATGAAAGCATATTTTGAAGTTTATTTAACAGATGCTCCCTGGGTTACGATGATCCGTGTCACAATATTTCGACTTTACGATGGGTATTTCAATTCTTTTCTGTTTTTCACTTTCAGTACATTATTCAATACATTACATGAGATATTCAACACTATAAAATATGCTTTGGGTAAAATGATTTTGCCCAACTGTAGGCGAATGTAAGTATTCTTAGCATGTTTAAGGTAGGCTAGGCTATGATGTTTGTTAGGTAACGTGTACCATTTTAAAATGCATTTTTGCCTTACGATATTTTCACCTTATGATTTATCAGAACGCAACCCCATCACAACCCGGGGAGCATCTGGATAAGTTTACTGAGAAACCATTTAAAAAGTGCCTAGTTCAAAAATGGATAGGCAAGCTGTCAACTGGACCTTCCTTCGCCCGTTACTAGTGGTTTGAGGTGATAAACAGACCCTGTTCTGTACAAGTTTACAAAGCCCAGCTGTGCTGTATGTGTGATTGAGCGCTGGCATGAGACAGAGTGATGCGGGTGGAACTCACTCCCTACCCCCACCCCAACATGCCTCCCGTCGGTTCCCAAGCTTGCCCAGTCGCACTCCGGTTACATGCGGTGGAGACGGGGAGAGGATCCCCCTTTCTCTGGAGTGAAAGGCAGGTAGGGCGCAGGCTTTCTCACGCTACAGCACATCCTCTCCATCTCCTGCCATCTGGACCTGAAACAAGGTGGAGACTCCGAGGCCACAGCACAGAACTCACCCTCCTGAAACCCCCAGTCGTGTTCCAGGCTCTTCTGACGTGTGGCTTTATAAACACCACCCCCACCTGTTTGAATGTGTCTCAGCCTGTGGCTCAGAGTCTCTCTTGTACCCCTCTCACCGTCACACCCTCATCCTTTCACTCCCCCCCCCCCCCCTCCCCCCCCTTCCACTTTCTTCTTGTGAACCCCATTGTTCATTGGTTTGTTTGTTCTCTCTCCCTCTTTTTCTTCCCGTCTGTGTACCTAGGCAGCCCATTGAGTAACTTCTTTGACGTAATTAAACAACTTTTTTCAGACGAGAAGAACGGTCAGGTGTCCCACCCACCGGGCACGCCCACCAAGCACGGCGCCAGCGGCGGGAGGCGCGACGGCGAGCCTAATGACTATGGCTCTAGAGGAGACTCAAAGTGTCCCGCTGGCAAAGAGAAAGCAAAGATGGTGGCACCCTTTGGGACACAGGAGCAGCCCTAAAAAAAGCCGTAGCAGATTAAAATAGTATAAAATCCGCGCGAATCAAATGGCGCCGCGTGGAAAGCTAGTGACTCACACTTCTGCTGTAAATAAAATTGGAAACTATCCGTAGATGGTATAACTTTTATATTATGGAATGACTGTAAATAGATACAAAGCAAATATTTTAAAATTAGCACTTGTAAAAAAAAAAACGGCTGCCCCATTCCACTTCCCTCCCCTCGACAGGAATAACCCCAATGTTTTTAGCTATTGTTCTGTCCTTCTTTTTATTAATTTTTTGTCTCTTCCCCTGCTCACCTGTGTGATGACCTGACTTATTTCTGCTGCTAGGAATTATCCAGAAAACGTATTAAAGCCAGCCTCCTGCTCCTCCTGCCCCCGTGCCGTGCAGCGCGAGATGGCCATTTGTTGACGGAGGGCGCTTTGCGAAGCCGGTGTGCGAGTTACCGAGGAAACGGACCCCCCTCTCGTCTTCACACACACACCAAATCCATCACCCCAACCACCCTCCTACCAGTCTCCGGCAGAGCTTCGTAAAAATGACCGCTCTCACATCGCCGACCTCCTCGCGTCTCTACCTAAAAGAAGATAGATGGAGGCGGAGGAGACAGGTGAAGCGACGACACGTGCCCATCCCGCGCTGTCCCTCTCCCGCACGCGCACAGACAAACCCGCACGCACGCACGCACGCGAGAACTCCGGGGGTATATAAGAACAATAGGAAAAGGAGGCAGAAGAAGATGGAGCACCGGGCTGTCAAAGGCGGACTTACAGGACTGTTTTCTTTTTAACGTACACTTTTTGTGCGAATAACCGGGTTTAAACTGGCAACACCCTTGATGAAAAAAAAGACTGTACACCCCTTTTCAGAAGCGGAAGGGTGTCTGGGAAAGAATCGGGTGTGGGAGAGTTGAGGGAATTGAACAAATGAATGATCTATTCTGTTGTACAGGCTGAATATGTTTCTTATGTAAAAATGTCTAGTTGTGACACTGTTTAGCTATAGGGTCAGATTCGAGAATTGTGTTGCCACAATCCCCCCTCGCCCCTTTATTTTGGTATTTTGCTGTTATTCACTTATTCGCTATTCGTTCAGGTTCGTTATCCCTACTCGCTGTTACCTCCACCCACCTCCGGTTTCTATGTGAAAGTCTCTGGCCTGACCGTTACGCTGTCAGACAGGGAGGGAAATATATTGGCTGATCATATTGGATCTTTATGATTTATTTATTCTCTTTATTTGTGTCTTAATTTATTAAGTGTTGGCTATATATATATATATATATATATATATATATAAATAAATGTTAGCCAAGATTATATGTTATTTATTTACTTCCTGGTGTCTTTTAAAAGAGGCAACACAGTTTGATTCATATGAAGAGACAAAGTTCTTTTTCCTTTAATTTTGTCCTAATTTATTGGAACAATGTGAACAAAGGATATTTCTTTCTTTCCTAAAATGCGAGGAAAAAAAGATATTGTAGTATATGTTTAAAAAAAATAATAATTTACCAGTAATTTAAGAATGTAGACTAGCCTCTTTCTGAGGAAATTATCTTCTATTGATATTTGTCAGTTTCATATCATTGTGTGTGTTCGACAGATTAAGGGAAAAAAGACTTGAACCGCTTTTCTTGTAAATAGATGAATTTGGGCAATGAAGTTCTTAAGGGGGATTCCTGCTCTGGGATTTTATCTCGTATTACTGTGTGCATGTCCGATACAACTTTTCTTTGCATGCTGTTTCTGTAAATGTTCCATAAAACCGTCACTTTGCCGTAATCGCTTTTCTCTCTCACTTTATTTAAAAATAATCTTCGCTTTCTCTCCCCCCCCACACACTTTTTATAAGTTATTTTTTCCGTCTCTCTCTGCCCCCACCCCCTTCTGCACATACTGATCAATGCTTCCTCTACACTGTAAAAAAAATCTATATTAAAAAGGCAGATTCTCCCACCTACACAAACCCAAGTGCAAGAAGCGGAAAGGGGATTTTCATCTTGAAAATATTCTAATAAAGCAATACCTGTTGTTATCCTCTTTATTTTGTACTTTGAGATGAAAGGTACACAGGATAAAGACCTTTGCTGGTCGTTACTGAGCAGGAGCATACTCCAGATGTATCCCCTTGTAACAACTGTGAACAACTGCAGTGGAAAAAACAATAATAAAACTCGTTCAGTTACAAGGCGTGTGTTTGGCGTTCTGTGTGTGCCCCGGCCCCGACAGCCTGGACCGGTTAGCGACCGTCGCCGCTGCCTCTCGACCCTGATTTCTTTCTAGAAGCATCCAGAGGATATTGAAAAGCCCCGAACGCATTCCCTAGGAGTTAACCGGAGTTGACCATGCCATCACATCTGCCTGGGGTGAGTTAATCGTATTTCCCACCTGCTTGTAAAATACTTTAGGTAGGCCTGTTAAATCAGGCAGCTAGTGAAAATGACACATTAACAAAACAGGGGTTTATTTCATCATTTATTTCAGCAAGTACCGAATTTAAAAAAAAAAAAAAAAAGAATAATTCTGCATTTAACAATAAGTGAAATGTTTAAACTACAGTATCTGGATTTAAAGTTTGTATCGATCATGTATAACTGAATCAGTATGAATGTTGAGTATGTATAGGCCTACATTTAGATAATCTTTCATAATTTATTTTGCATAAGAAGAATGCTGCATACTGCATTAATATGAATGTGCATACTGAGCATAGATGTACCAGCACTTCCTGTTCTCAGTGAATGTTGTTTTTCTGCTGATGTCTGTCACCATGGACAGCTCTGAAATTTACACTATTGATAGACTAAGTTTATGCTTTTCTTTATACATTTCCTTTACAGGCAGTTTAAAACGTATTCAATTAGTTTAAATAAGTACGTAACTACTGGAACAATATCATTGATCTCATCATTATTCCTATCATTTTAATTAAGCTATATCGATTCCCGCTAGTAGAGGGCAGTTCCAATTGTCTTAAAATTGGTTTTATTTTCGGTATAGGTGTCTTCCAGCTTCCCCAAAAAGTCCAAAGACATGCATTTTAGGAGAACTGGTAGCTGAATAATCCATATGTATGGTCGTGTGTATGCACGTGCCCTGTGATGGACAGACACCCCATCCATGGTGTTCCCCCCGCCTCATTCTCAGCGCTGCCTGTGATTGGATCCAGGCTCAGCGTCGCCCTCTACTGGTTAAGCATTAGATTTGTGTGGAAAATGGTTGCCTAACATTTAGCGGAGTGGCACAAACGGAGTAAGTTAATGCCACGTGCACAAGAATGGAAGTGCTGGACGTTAGCTTTGGTCATCCTGCACTTAATGGAAAGTGGTTAATGGAAAACTAAAATGCAAAAGGTGTCAAACGATGCCTGTGTGTTATTCTTTGAAATCCAGACAGGCCAGGAAACCTAATAAGAGAATTTTAGATAAGAGAATTCTAATTAATCTTGAATTTTTCTTCTTTAGCTATGATTTTTCTCTGCCAGAGTTGTCTTCTGTCATGGATGTAACTGGTTAATTTGTAGTGGACTGTTTGCCAGTGTGTAAAGCTATTGCACGAGTTCTCAGTGAGGTATTTATAGCACACAGGCTGCACGGTGGCTCAGTTAATAGGCTGCACTGCGCCTTCACATTTCTGGGTTCGTCTCCACCCCTTACTCTGGGTCTGTGGATTTTGCATATTCTTCTCGCGTTGCATGGGTTTCCTCTGTATACTCCGGTCTCCTCCTGTAGTCCGCAAGTGCCATGATGGATTACATGTTCTGCCCTGTGCTACCTGCGACAAATTCCCCTTATCAGGCACTGGTTAACTGGTTAGAAATAATCTGCAAATATTTTTTTTTGGAACCTATTGATGGTACATTCATACATGTTTTTTTTTTTTTTTAAATAGAGCATTAATGAATTACTATGTGTTGGAAAAGAAGAGAGTATTTTCCTTGAAATGAACTTTGATCCCATTAGTTAAACATGGGAGTCCATTTACAAAGACCCTCAAGCCCACTAGCGGAACAAGAACAAGTACATCATTGCTGGGAGATGTGTTAATAGCATGATTAATATTTATTAATATTTATATCCTTCCTTCTTTTAATCACTTACCCTGTTCGGAGATCGGAGAATAATTTATTTTAAAATTAAATTAAAAAAAAACCTTTAAATGAGAGCACTCCCTGCAGTTCCCATTTCCTTTTCATACGAACCGTTAACTTTTTTGTAGTTTAGTGTAGATGCTTAGTGTGTGTAGTCTTGTAAACACTTGACAAGGATGAAATATGGAAGCTAAAATATGTTAGACACTGTGTATGGCAGTAGAGCTTCATGCAGTACCACCAGGGAAGCAGCAGGTGGAGTCAGAGTAGCGGTATTTGAAACGAGGTCATTTTACCCAGTATCTTATATTGCGGTCTTCTGTTTGCACGGACACCGAACGTGATACAGGCAGTTCTAGACTAACGCAAGTACTCTGTTCCACAAACCTTTACAGGAGTCAGATTTACCTTCTCATAGCATTCAAGACACCTTTTAGCTCAAAAACATCAAAAATATACTAGCAACACATACTAAAATAAGACAAATAAATGAAAAGATAAAGTGCAAATTAACTTTCAATCATATGTCGCCTTTTTGGGTTAGGACTTCATTAAGTTCTAAGGATCTTGGATATTTTGCGCAAGTCGAGAGCAGCCTGTATTGCATTTGTGTATTAAAAGCAGTGATAGCAAAATTTTATAACTGAAAAAGTATACTTGTGTGGGCATTTGGGTGTATGCTGTGATGTCATTTTTCCTTGTTTTGACCAATGCTTGGCTGTTTGAAAAATATTGTCCTGGAAATGACCGTCCCTGTAGTTTGGAAAGGTGATTTATTGGTTACAATGTCTGCAGCACCAGGCTGGTTAGGCTGTATTAATATCTCTACCCACCCTTCATTCTAGATGGAATGAGCCTTCTGCCAAAGAGAAAAAGCTGGTTACCTAGTGGACAAAGTTTTTTTTTTTTTTTTACAGAAAGGGCTGATATGGATCCCAGGCTGGAACATGACATTGCGGCGACTAACCAAATTGTCCTTATGCACTTAGCCATGGCCAAAGTCCACACTAAAGATGGCAGATCAAGCCTGTCAGAAAAATGGGCAACAGCTTTACAAGGTTATAGGTAAACCAGCTAGACTCTTAACTTACATTATTCAGTTGCAATGAAATATATCAGGTACCGTTCTTGGTGAATAGTTTTTCCTCCTCTCCTTAAATAGAAAAGTTTTTTCACATTTTAAACAAGAAATATTTACATTATCAGCATTTTAAGCTGACGATAATTTTTCAGTCTTTCTGTTACAGGGGGATTTTGTGGGTCTGTTCTCCAAGAAACTGAGCCGTCCCTGACCACTGGAGGGCAGCACCGCCGTATTTTCCATGGAGCCTCTTTTTCTTGGTCATGTGCTTTTCTCCTGCCATTAAAAGGAACTTGGGGCATCTTTGACCAGAGCTGAGAGCATTAAAGTTACTAAGCATGTGCTGACAGACACCCACAATCCCACGATGCTCTGCGGTCACCTTCCTCGATGGTCGCCTCACACGCGGGATGACACATAGAGTGAGTGAAGCCGGCGTACTAGCATGGCCTCCATTTCCTCCAGGGGGGAATCGCGGCCCCCCGTCCCCAGAAGCAGAGTCCGGAAGGCCTCAATCTCCAGCAACTCGGGCATGTGCTGCAGGAAATACGCCTCGCAGAACGCACCTAACTCCGCAGCCCCACGGACCTGTAGCGACGCCAAGAGAGATGCCCCCCTCCCCCGTCAGTTAAAACAGTAAGTTGCAGCCGCAGAAGATTCCTCGTGATTGGATACCGTTTTCCACCAATCCTGACCTTTGACCCTTCAGATGGTCTCACCTTGGCAATCCTGTAGATGTTGACTGCATTATCCGGTCTGATGCTCTTAGTACACAAGATTTCACAGTGTCTCTGCAGTGCCCCCAGCTGGAATAACTTGGCCACTGACAGCAGCTGGACGGGGGCCAAAAAAAACAAAGTATGACGGCCATACATTACACTATTCTCCTTATGTACATTTACCTCCATATGTTTCTTGTAGAGTAAATCTAATTGTGCTGTATATTTGAAAATGAAATCACAAACATGCCAGAGCACGCGACAGCCCTTCTGAACCTATGGCTTCAAACGCCAAAACCCCAGCACATAATGAAGGTGTAATTCTTTTATCTACTACAGTACCAAATTAATTAGCATTCCGCTACAAGCTAATTACCCAGGGTTAGGCTGTTAATCACACTTCTGACTGAGGAACGCAAGGACTGGGACCTTCTCACCTCCAGAATGTCAGCCACAGAGGCCTGCATGGCGTCGGCACTTCCACAGTACAGGTAAGACATCATCATCTAAAACAAACAGGCATTAGGGAGCTCGGTGTTTCCAGTGCTCATGGAGATGCATGCATTGGCAGCTGTGCGCTGTCCTCCCAGGGCGTGCTGGGTGAGAGGCCCCGACCAGCCATTCATCCAGATAAATACATTTGTTAAAAAAAAATTTATAACGTATACTTTTAGAATAAATTATTATTAACAATGAAATGACTAACACAAGCCACATTTTCAAACATAACTTTAAAAAATAAATTAATTTTATTGTATAATGTGTTCTAATAGCATTTTCATCTGATCCATAGGGGGTACAGTTGCACTCCCAGTAAAATTGCCTATGGATGCATAGAAGACCCCACCAATGACTAAATCCCAATCTATTTGACCAGATCGACTGACTAATGGCCAGAAATCCGGTCCTTGGGAACCCACAGACAGTCCACGTTTTTGCTCCCTCCCAGCTCAGTGGACTGTCTGGCAGGGAGCTGGGTGGGAGCAAAAATGTGAACCGGCTGTGGGTCCCTGAGGACCGGATTGGGAAACACTGCCCTAAGGTCATATCAGCAGAACATGACTCTGAAGCCAGCACCGAGTATGCTGCCTCTTGCTGTAGTTACGGGCATCTTGAACATCACGGCAGTAACTGTAAGGCAGCCCCCACCCTCTCAACATCTTTAACGTCCTCCAGCTGTGGCTCCAGTGTTTGCTGCTTACATTGTGTAACTGAGTCACATGTGTTACTAATGAAAAGCCCCTTGTGTTTGTTTGCGTAAATCCTCCTGTGTATTTCCTGATCGCTGCTGATTCGTT